CATTCCTACATTCTTAAATAATGACAACTCTTCAATGTTGCAGATAATTTTACCAGTCAGGCACACGATCTCTAATATCATAGTCCTTTTGCCAACAATACATTGGTGTGCATTTACTTGAAATGGAACTTTTAGTTTTAATATGAACTGAAAATTGTAAAGACATGCAATGTAGGAAAAAGAACCTCTAAATAACACAATTATGGAGGCTTGGGTATGCAGAATCATAAATAAATGGAGAGCTTCCTTTAGTTTTTAAATGCTCTTTATATTTCATAAAATCGAACTTCGCTATGTAGTTTTTAAAATGGCCTTTCCTCTATATATATTTCATTATTATGTGATTTTCATTTGCTTACTTTTCATGCAACAATATAGGCTGTTCCTGAAGTACTATGGCAGCAAATATAGCTGTATGCCCTACCCTAATCATGCTGAAACACATGACTTATAAAGAAAGTTGGGCAAGAAATCGATTCAATGAAACAATTCACTTTCTATCCATTTCAGATGTTGGCTAAATTTATTCTCCCTGTCAAAAAGAAAGAAAAAAAGAGAGAAAGGGAGAAAAAATGAAAAAGATCTAAAATAAAAAATAAACTCTATAATGTATATGAACATGACAAAAAATTAATCTAAAATTTACAAAAGCAGTGATGCAATGTTGAGTGAACTTCTAATCAATTAAAAAATCTAAAAACTGAAACGGAAAAATCATGAATCAGTATCAAATGCTAAGAGTGCAGTATACTCTCATGGTATGAAATTGGGAGAGGCATAGTGAAAAAAAAAAAAAATAATAATACTTAAATAAATACATCAAACAAAACACATATATATTAATTTCTTAACATTTGCACCCTATGTAAGTTCTACATATGTGAAATTAATACATGTGTTGTAGCATAATGTACATCTGTGTTTTTGTGTCTTTATAAATGTATCTGTCTGTGTGCTCCTGCATATTTGCATATTCATGTACAGTCAGGTAAAGTAAAAACACTCAATATATCTATAATGATATTTTGAGATCAGTTTTGATGACTAAATAGCAACTGGCAGCTCATCGCCAAACACTTTTATTATCTCATCATTTTTTCTCAGAGAGAATACACAAATTATATATTGATGATTCATATGAATGAAAATATCTATTAATCATGAGGTATCAATAATCTTTACTGATCAAGCAAAAATGATGTAAATAAAATTGATAAATTTAAATCTATGACAGCAAATCCATTATAAAACAAGTTAACATTGTTCTAAAACAAGTGAGGGGCTAAATTTTATTAAAAAAAGTCAAAAGAAAAAGATACGGGTATGCCATTAAACAGCAGTGATAATTCTATATACACTATATTATTTTTAGAGGGATATATGTAATCCTTTGAAAATTGATAAGCTTGCAACATGATCAAGTCAGATTAAAAGTGTGGGAATACTGCAATGTCACTGCACACTAACCTTCCATGGCACAAAAATTAGTCTTTAACAGATATAGGAATTATGCAATTTCATAAAAAACTCTATAAAAACTGATTGACGCACTTTGCCAGTAAGTCTCACCAATATCTATGGCATATAAGACATATGAAGGGCTGCAGTTTAATAGATTTGATGCATTCCAATGTGTGGAAGAGTTTCAGATTTACAAAATCGAATAACATTTGTGATATGTCACCATCAAAAACAAGAAATTATAAATCTGTGAAAGTTATCAAAAGAATCTGTAGATTCTGTTCAAAATGTTATTTTCTGTATTCGTGAATAAACAGAATTATATTAGCCCAGCATAATTCTCTCCAAACAGTGCCTACAGAATATTGAATGATTTAGTAAAGTCTGAAGTAAAATAATACTAGCAATCATTACAGAGCGCATATCTTAGTCTTCATTCCAGTGCTAGACAGCTACAGACATTAAACCATGAAAACAGTGTAAAGTCAATGATCGCGTTGCCACTAGTCATGACTGAAGACAATTAACAGAGTGAGACTTATTGTGTTTTTAATCATTTGGTTGCTTAAAAAAAAAAAAATAAGCAAAAACTGCTAAAAAAACTTATTAAAAAAAAAATAAAAAAAACAGTGAATTCTTATCAAAACAAAAATCCAGTTGACTGATGCAACAGTGAGACATCTCAATTTGATTGATTTGTACAACTATCAGTGATTGTGAGCTGCAATAGTGCTTATTTACATATGTACCATTGAGCCAGGGGGCAGCATAGCCATGAATCCTCGGTGATGATGCATCTGTCGATCATGATGTGAAGCAGGTTGTCAGTCACCAAAGCCAGGGGGAGCAAGGGAGGTCCTCGTGATACAGTAGAATAACGGTATGCTCTGCTTGAACGTTAATGCAGCTCTGGAAGAAAACATTTCCTGCAACTCCAACTCTCCCAAATGTTGCACTAGAAAGAATAAAACATTTCCTCTTCTGTTTTCCTTCCCCAATATATCATACTCACTCACTCTCACTCTCACTCTCTCTCTCTCTACATATTTTTTTGTGGTACTCATCTACCAAAACCTACGACAAAATACAAAACATATACTACAGTTATCTACCAAAAGCTATGACAAATTCAAAATACATGTATGTATACACAATGCTATTCTGAAAAGATAAAAAAGAGAATTCCTATTTGAAAAAAGAACAACTAAGATTGAAAATAATTACAAATAATTTAACATCTGAAATCCATACCTTTGAAGTGACTATTCATAAAGACCAGTAAAATTAAATCTATATAGAACAGCATATAACCACCTGATTCCTACTAATATCATACCGACTGGGGCATCAGGAGTAGCCAGGGCACGCAAAAATATCAATTCTCGCTGCAGTGCTCCCTGGTAGTCTTGGTGGCGTCTAAATACCTTGAGAGCCACAGGGCCCCCTGATACACAGTCCTCCCCCTCATACACCTCACAGCATCTGAAAAATTCATCCAAATAATTCAAATATCTGTGATTTTAAATTGATTAACATAATGTGTTAATCTTTATGTAGCCTTATGATGAATATTTCGCAAATAAGGTGTACTCTGCTTTTCCTTTTACAACACACACACAGACAGACACACACAGACACACACACAGACACACAGACACACAGACACAGACACACACACACACACACACAGACAGACACACACACACACACACACACATGCTGAATAACAAGCATATGATTATAAACAGCTCATAATCATCAATAAATACAAATACAGAACCAATCTCCATTCCCGGCACCATGCAAAATGGAACTCAGAAGAAGTGGACTCATTCTCAATTCCAACCAGACTCTTGCAAGATTAATTAACAACTCAATCCATCCAAAACCTAGTCAGACAGTTCCCAAAGTAACCAAGGAAACTTTTCGGCAATATCAAATTTGGTACAAATCACATGGAGTAACAACCATTGTCTTTACTAACACCCCTATCTGGATGAATATTCCAAGCAGATGGATTCTTCTGATAAGTGCTATAAAATCTTTATCTAAATCATCTCTTGTTTGGTATGACAGAAAATATAATTGTGGTTTCCGTCAATAACACTGAGTATAGAAGAACAATTAATTCATTCCACGTAAGAAACCTAAATCCAAAAGCATGACTACAAATATATTCAATATAAAGCATTCACCATACTTTAATTTGCAATCTATGTTAACACAAGGAAGTACCTCAAATTTTCATTCACATGAAACTATAGTCATAACTTCCCATTTTCATATCAGCATGTACAATCCCATTAACCTGAGAGACTAAACCATCATCCGAAAAGAGAATGAGCATCTACCTGCCAAAAGCAATGCCACCTCTAACTCTGAAGACTCCAAAAGGTGCAATAAGCTCCTGCTCTGGAGGAAGCTCTTGAAAATGGTTGTTCCTGACTGAAGTCATCTTTCATGCATCACCCGAAAGAACTGGGTGGCATATGAAGGAGTTGCTTTGGATCCTCTGTAAGAAAAAAATGGTTCCTGATAAGTATTCTGATTACATAAGTAATATGTGCTGTTACATCAATACTATCTTACTGTCAGATATTTGTGCTACTGTGTTACTGTTCTATCTCAGATCTATTTTCTGGATTAACTTTGATTAAATGCAGCCTATATTGGCATAACATCGAGTCATCTTACATTATTTTTAAAATCTGGTTATTTCTAAGGACTACATCAAGGGATTGTTCTCTGTACCTAAAGCATTACAATCCTTCATTCCACATACTCTAGTATTTCAAAGATTGGACTGGCTCCTTATTTAACAATAAATCAGCAGGAAGGTCTAGAAGCTCTGCACTTGTTTTCTAAATTATAATTTGAAATGATGTTCATACTTTAATCATCATTATCTTATAACTGTTAAGTTATGTAAAATGCATTGTTCTACTATCTTTACAGTATACCAGGTAAGGTATTTTTTCACATCATTCTGAAATGTATCAGAGAACACCTGCTGAGGCACTAGAGGCCAGAGCAGTCTGGAGTCAATCCTGGTAAGTCCACAATGGGCTGTATTCTGGCACTTCAAGTCATTGTCAAGAGCTATTGTGAGTTTAGGCATGGGCTCCTTGTAGTTTACATCGACCACAAAAAGGAATTTGATACAGTGCATCATGAATTACCCGAGTGTAGAGGTCTCCTGGACCAAGATCAAGATCCACGACTTCGGGAGCCTCCTAGGAGAACCTGTTTGGTTGGTACATGCTTGTGGCAAATACATTGAAGTCACAGAGAGCTTTACATATCTTGGTAGTGTAGTTAATGACACTAGGATGTCAGATCAGGAAGTCAATAGATGGATCTTCCTGGCAGCAGGAGTCATAAACTCTCTTGACAAGAGCATCTGGAGTTGCTGGTATCTGTACAGAAGGATCAAGCTAAATGTCTTCAAGGCCCTGATAATGCCAGTTTTACTATACGGTAGTGAAACCTGGACACTATCTCTGCTTTGGAATCTCATCTTGATGCCTATTGTAATAAGGGTCCTTGTGTCAGATCATGGGGTACAGTTAGCAGGACCATATTTCCAACCAGTTGTTACAATGTCGGGCTGGTAAAAGACCCGTTTTCACTTGCACAATCTGGGACCACCAACTCAGGCTATATGGGTACCTGGTTCACTTCCTAAAGGATGATCCAGCCTAATAGGTTGTCTCCGTTTGAGACAACCCTGGGTGGAAGAGGCCTGTGGAAGTTGTGTCTTGGGCAGATTGTTCAGACCTGTCGTGAGGAGCTAGAGATGGTACAAGGCCCTGCCTTGCAGCTCACCATGGGGGACCCTCATAAGTGGAAACGAATGGTGGATGCAGCTATGCACCCCCGTCTACATTAGCTCCCCAAGATGATGATGATGAGTAATGGTGCAGCTGCCACAGCCTCATGTTGGTTGGCATTATGGCAATGATTAACAAACTTCTACCATATGAAATATAACAAGACTGAGCTTGTATTCTCCTGGCCAATTTCTTGTCAAATAAGGAAACACTCTAATGTTGCCAGATTGTCCATAATGTGTTTGTTCCGGAGTTGAAGTTAGGTTAACAAATAGTTTGCAAAGCTGAATATCATATCCAATCAATATAAAATCACACAAAAGATATATCATTAAATTTATATCATTGCTGGTTTGGAAAAAAGAAAACTAATGCATTCATATATAGAAATTCTAAAAATCTTTACTTCTATACAATTTTCAATGCAAATTAACAATGAACCAGTTATACAGAATTTTATTTAGTGATGAATTACCTGAATTCATATAATATAAAAACTTGACTATATGAAATATTTTGGCCTGATCTAACCAAAACTTACAAAGCTAACCTTACCTAACATAATTCGTTATTTTCCATTATTCCTTTTTTTGTATTGTGCAAAAAACTTGACTGATTAGGTTCTATTAGGTCTAGAGAAGCTTCCTTTATATCATTATCCTTATCATTATTAATAAAATGCAGGAATAGATGATATACACATACAGACCACTCTCTCTAAGAATGATATGCTCTGTCTCTTCATAAAGCATCAAGTCTTATAATTAATAACTGACTGATTTGGGACACAATAAGTTCTTCAGAATTGTCTGGCCTATCAAATAACTTCAAAGAAACAAGCATTTAGCAATCTGTATTGTCTTTCAAAGGCTTGGGAGTCCGTTACTGTATATGCCTCCTCCCCCTGAGAATAATTGAATTCCTATTAACTGAAGTATCTCTATACAACATTAACTAATCAAATAACATGATAATAGAGGTGATTTATGAATTAATCAAAAACCATGAAACTGGTACAGCATTACAAAACTTCAAAATAAACATTACCTTCATTCAAATGTATTGAATTTTATAATCAATATACCAGTATCTATTTTTTCTTTAATCTAATCATCATCAACTTGTTCAGTTCTCACCTATTCTTCTGCTTCTTTCATCCAGGACGTTATTATTTTCTTTTTTGCCATAGACCTACATCTGGGAATAAATATTTTTAAAAAATCGATATTTGTAATTAGCTGTCTGTGTACTCTTAACTAAAAACAAACATGTCTCCATTAGCATTACTTTCTTACCTATTCCTTTTATCTTCTTTTAATAGCCTTCACACATCAGGCTATATTTTTCCTGGGTCTTCCTTCCGTTTTTGTGGATTATCATATGATGTATTTATCCCTTTTGACCTTTTGTGGAGATCTCCTTTTGCTTAATTGGCTAATATTCCTCAACTGGTGGATGATCGGTCCCTGTAATCATTAAAATACATATTAAGATTGTGGATATTTATTTTCTCTTCGAGTAATTACTATTTTGAACGTGATAAGAGCTGAATCTCGGATATTATGAGTGTCGGGCGGTCTGTTTACTGTCACTTACCTATGTTGTGACATTTGGCTCGCGAGGGTTTGTTGTGTAAACAAAGGCGCGTTCGTTGTTCAGTGAAATTATTCATGTCTTCTTTCTCCCTGGCTTTTCGTGTCGTTGTTGAGTAAAATTATTCGTGTCTTCTTTATTCTGGGGTTTCTTGTGTCTTGCGTAGCTGGTTTATTTCTATATTGGTCCTATGGTATTCATATATTTGTGCTTATACTCTCCTCAACTGACGGAGTTCATGAAATAGTTTTGGAGGGAAAAGTCGTTTGCGGGTTCTTCTCGGAGGATAATTTGGCAATAAATGTTTTTTTTTTGGATATTCGTTTTATTAACGGAAACAAATCTATATTTCAAATATCTAAAATATATGATTCATGAAATACTTTTGATGTGTGTGTCTGCGTGAGAGAGTATGTGTGTGAGAGAGAGTGTGCGTGTGCGTGTGGGCGAGTCGGTCTTCATCAATCACAGTAGAAACTTCACGTAATAATATTAATCTTTACTGTTTCAGATTATTAGCATTTCGGTTATTCTCACTACAGTTCTTATAATCATCATAATCATCATTAGTATTTTGATATCAATGTCATTATCAACCCCATCACTGATACGCTATTATCAGGCAGCTAATCATCATTAGTATTTTGAATGTCATTATCAACCCCATTACTGGTTCCTTGGTCACAGATAGAATTACTCTTGGAATTGTCATTAATTTAGAAGCAGGTATTCAGTCGTGGAGAATAAAGAATAAGAGACTTAAAATGTGGTTGATGGCAACAGGCCATAAAAGGAAGTCTGTTACGCCATAAAAGAAAGTGTGTTAATAATTATGACAATAATAATATAAAAATGATCGTATTACTGTCATTACTGCTGATGATGATGATAATAATAATGACAACAATGACATTAATAATAATAATAATAATAATAATAACAATTATAATAACTATGATAATAATAATTATTATGATTAATTCTTGTTATTGTTATAATTACCAATGATAATAATTATATTGATAAGAATAAGAAAGATAATATTTCAAACTGACTAATAACCATCTTTATCTTATACAACTTAAACCCATTCCCTTACTACTGTTATTGTTTTATTATTATTATCCTTATTATTATTATGCTCCTATTCCTAGAAAATCATAACGATAAATATGATCTCTACCACTACTAATACTGATGATAATAATATGGATTATGGTGTTAGTAATATCAAGGATGGTAATAACGATAATAATGAGAGCAATAACGATGCTGATGAAATAATAGCAATACAAATGCCCACAACGATTATAAAACCAACAACAAAACATAAAACTATTGATGTTATTGACCAAGACGAATTCAACGGGATGGCAGCAGTAAACTGAAATATATATATATTAAATTCCACGAATCCACCGACGATGATGTCTGCGTCATAAATTTTGTAAACTGTGCATAATAGATAATCTACAACACAACTATCATAATACATGAGAGGCAGCAATAGAAAGATTCCTCGTATGCGACAGTAATAGATGATTAACAACGATACACTTGCATTAATCACATCAAATTCCTTCTAAAACAATATAGTATTTTGTCTAAGAAAACACGATAATGATGATAACAATAACGATGATGATGAAATAATAAAAATACTAATATCCACAACGATAATAAAACCAACAACAAAAATATTGATGTTATAGACCGAGACGAATTCAACGTGATGGCAGCAGTAAACTGAAATATATATTAAATTCCACTAAAAACATTAAACAAGATTTCATAACTTAATCTCTTAAAAACTATTTTAAAACAATTAGCTTCAATACTTCTTTTAATAGACAACAAAAGGCAGGAAAACAATGGTTCCTGGAAGTCACATATGTTAAAGTAAGAATTAATTAAAAACGACACATTTGCATTAACCTACCATTAATCGCGCCAATTTTCCATATAAAACAGAATAGTCGTTTGTCTAAGAAAAAAACGAAAGAATTAAGAAATTTGAAATGTTTTCTCGATGGGTGTTCCACAAAATGGATCTAGTACGTTTACGGATCAAATTAAATTTTCAGTGTTCTACATTGCTGATAAAGAAGAAAAGGAAGGGAAAGGAATAGAAAAGAAAAGAAAAGAAAAGAAAAGAAAGAAAGAAGAAAGAAAAAATATATATATATATATATATATATATATATATATATATATATATATATATATATATATATATATATATATATATATTAATATATAATATATATATATATATATATAATAAAATAAAATAAATAGAAAAAACGTGCCTTTTTGTGTTAAGTTTAAAAGGATCACTAAATGATAATCATAACAGCATCTACCTACTTGAATAGTCATTATAGTATGTATCGGTTCACAGATAGGGATGGAAAAGTCACTTTGAGACTACACCTGCAAAACGTTTAGTTCTCAAGCATCAATTATAAGAAAATTTTGGTCGTGATGTGACTAAAAATGAGGAAGGTGAGGGGTGCAGGTATATTAATCAACTCTGGTTTAATTTTGTGTTTCGTGCACACTTATCTCCTTGCATTATTGACCTTCTCATACCACCGCTTTCCTTCTAAGAATGAATTTCCTCCATTCGTGTATTTTTTCCTATCTCAGTCTCCGTCCCTTTTTCCACAGAATTATGCTTACTTTTCCTTATATAACATGTTTGTATCGCCTTTGCTTGTCTCTTTGTATTATTGGCCTTCTCATCTTCGCTTCCATTTTCGTTTGTTCACATATTATTACTTATCAAACTTACAATTCGTTGTGGCAATATGTTTCTATATACATGAAGCATACCAGCTGAAGTTGGCAGATATTGTTACTATCATTGTTATTATCATTATCATCACCATCCTCGTCGTCATCATCATCATTATCAAAATTATCATTATAATCAGTACGATAATGTTAATTTAGTATCCTTGGTTATGGCTATTATCTTAATATTAATTAAGTGATGCTCTTTATATAATATTGTATCATAAATTGACATAATTAATTTATGAATAACAAGCAATCAACCATATTCTCTCAAAGCAGGTAGGCCTATTCTACTCATCTAATGAATTGGAATAACAGATTTTTGGGTAGATTGCCGGGTAGAATGGCCTGTCATGAATGGCAAAAGGTGTATGTTATCATTAATGGAGTAATAACATATTGATATAATAATAATAGTAATATAAACATAGTGACAAGATTAGTAAAAGTAATAACATGTCTTCTTGCACAGTTCGCATATCTGAATTGCCTACCTTTGTGTTTTACAAATAATTATACAACTGCTGAATAAACATTAGATATTAGATTGAAAAGGCTAAAAGGAGAACATATAGGACCTAATCCCTCTGTAAAACATGGCTATACCTTACATTACAACGAGAGAGAGCTAAATAGATGCACAAAAATGAACGGGAAGTTAAGTAAGTTAAGCTCCAAGTATGGAATTCAAGTCTCACAAAAAACATTGCAAGAACAGCTTCAAAGATTTTACACCGGAAAATGACCTTGAGCTTTTCTTTACAGAGTTGGAGAGAATGGTACTTCATTTTATGTGTATGGAAGATCATTGAAAATTGAAATCAAGGCGAGACTAACCCAGACAGGGAAGAACATTATATTACTCTAGGATAACGGATCAGACATCCCAGTTAAGTAAAATGTGTAATTAAAGTGTCTTGATTCATGAACCAAGAATGCTAAATGGTGCGCTAAAAGTATTTGCAACACAAGTCAGAACTCTGTGGAAGTGTTTAAGTGAATATTAGACAATTAGCTGAATTCAATACCAGTCGAACCTGCCAATAGTGGGTAGTGAAAGAACGAGGGCTGTGTTAAATTCTATTTGTAATCAATTTCCGTTTAAAGTTGCTGAGAGAAGATGGGTGAATACCAAGGATGGCCCTGTCATGAGCCACTAATAAGGCTCTTGCCTGAAATAAAACCAGGTACGTAAGTAGACAATAATTTAGAAGAATAAATTTGCACAAGTTACCCATATATAAATTTTCTTGTCCACAGAAAACGAAACTAGTGTTGTTGTGTTTATTGGGGAAACTTCGTAATAATTGTCATTTTTATTTTTATGATAATGATAATTATAATGATAATGGAAAATGATAATGATAATAGTAACAATGATGATGATAATAATGATAATGATGAAAATAGTAATGGTTATAAGAATAATAGCTATATTATCATTGTTAATGCTTATAATCATAATAGTAATAATAATAATGATGATAACAATGATGACAATGATAATAAAAAGGATAATTATGACGATGATAATGACAGTGATTATGATAATGGTAATAATATTAATAGCATTGATAACAAGAACAATAATGATGATAATATGATAGTGATAAGGAAAATTATTATAATAATGATAATCATAATAACGATAATGATAATCAAGATACTGATACTGATAATGTTACGAATGGCAATAGAAGTGATGATGATGATGATGATAATGAAAATAATGATAATGATGATGATGATGATGAAGGTGATAATGATATTAACGATGATAATAATTGCAGTAGAATTATGATAATGGAACAATAATAGTACTGATAATAACAGTAAAGTTAATGATGATAATGATATAACAATGATGATGATGGTGATGATGACGATAATGATAATGATGATTATATTAATGATGATAATATCAGTAATAATGATAATAATAATGGTGATAATAGTTATAATAATGTTAATGACAATAATGATAACCATTATAGTAATGATAATCATAATAATAATAATGGTAATGATAATGATAATAACACCAACAATAATACTAATAGTAATAAGAGTAACAATATTGATAATGGTGATGAGAATGACCATAATAATAATATTAGAAATAATAGAATATGATAAATGAAGATAATAATGATAATAATAATAATAATGATAATGATAATAGCAATGGTAATAATAATGATACTAGTAATAATAATAACGAAAAAGATGATAATACGACCATTGATAATGATAATAATGATAATTATAATAATGATAATAGTAACAATGATAATGGCACTGTTAATAATGATAATTTTATATACA